CTGTAGCAGTGAAGAGCTCTGTCCGTTTATGAGAGAGAGAGAGAGAGAGAGGGAGAGGGAGAGAGGCGGGTGGGGAGGTGTGCGAGGGAGTTTGAAGAGTTTTAATGAGCCAGTGCTCACACCTATGACAGGACGAATAAGTGATGGAAAATTAATCTGTGTGTGTGTGTGTGTGTTTGTGTCTGTGTGTCTCTCTCTGTGTCTGTGTGTGTGTGTGTGTGTGTGTGTGTGTGTGTGTGTGTACATATGGGAATTTTGGGGAATTTGTGTGTTTGTTTGTGTGTTGTTATCCTATGAGAATTCACTGCCTCACCAAGCAGAGACATTTTTAACTTGTGCAATCAATATGAGTGGGTGCGTGTATACATAGTCTGTGTGCATGGGTGTGTGTGTGTGAGTGTGTGAGTGTGTGTTGTGTTATACTGATGAATGGCCTAGCTCTTAATGTTCTCAACCACTCTGTGGACTAACTAGACTATTTAATCACCCTCTCTCATCCCCCGCCTCCTCCTCCTCTCTGTTTCTGCTTCTCTGCCAAAGCTGAGTGTACTGCTGAGGTTAGGCAACACTTATTGTACAATACATTACCCCGTGTGTGTGTGTGTGTGTGTGTGTGTGTGTGTGTGTGTGTGTGTGTGTGTGTGGGAGAAAGAGAGTGTGTGAGAATTAGCACTGCATCAGTCAGTGTCCAGCCTGCTGGCTCGTACACCTGTCGGCTCGTTATGGAGCACAGGAACAGATCGAGGTGGCACCCAGAGCATAAATCTAACAGACACACATATTGCGCACAAACACACTTACACACAACCTTGTTATACTTGTGTCGACTTACGCTCACTCACTAAGTTCCTTTAACTTCCAGCCCCATCACCGCTAATTGCCTGACTGCAGCCATTACCTTAACTTTTTACGTTTGACACTTAAAATAACCCTTTTCCTAATGAGGTTCAGAATGGGCTGCTCACAAATTACTCTTTTACTGGGACCTTATAAAATAGTGGACATAGATAACTCACACACAGGGACACACACAAACACACACACCTTGAGGACTGGACCTACTGTCTACCTGTAACTGGAGGGTGGGTGTTGGCACGCGAGGTGATCGCTTTGTGGCGTATGCGGTGTGAGTTTGTGTGTGAACTGGTGCATGTGTGTGTGCCTATAGCAGTAATGAGCACTGGGCCATGGGAAGCCCAAAGGCAAGGTTCCCTAACAGGGTCAGACTCAAGGACGTCTGGCACTGATCCACGCGCCAACCTATGGTACACACACATAAAACATATTGGGCCAGCAGACCGCATGCTGATCCAGTACCATTAAACAATGTGAGGAAACACATGCTTTTTGTACATCACACCCACCCGTTGTGTTTTCTCTCATTCTGTCTATCTTCTCTCTTTTTTGTGCGCGCAAACACACACACACACACACACACACACACACACACACCGTGAAACACCCTCTATTCGTCCCCGAACGAACGTGAGATTCACGCTTCACTAGCAAAGACTCTCAGAGTGTAGGTTATTAATGAGAGCATGTCCTAACAACATTACAGAGCTACTGCCCCATGGAGGAGAGACAGAGGAGAGGAGAGGAGAAGAGAGGAGAGACAGAGGAGAGGAGAGACAGAGGAGAGGAGAGGAGAAGAGAGGAGTGACAGAGGAGAGGAGAGGAGAAGAGAGAGGAGAGGAAATGCAAAGCAGGATATCAGAAAAGAAACACGAGGAGAGGAGACAAAAGAGGAGAGAAGAAGAAATGAGAAAAAAGGGGAGAAGGAGGGAAAAATGAGACGAGAAGAGAAAAGTGAAAGGAAAGAGGTAGGAAAGGGAGAAAAGGACAGGAGGGAAAAGGAGTAGAAGAAATAGGAGGGGAGGGGAAGAGGGAAAAGGAGAAAAAAGGAGAAAATACACTAGGAGGTAGAGACAAGGAGAGGACAGGAGAAGAGAAAAAAAGTGACTGGAAAGAAGGAGAAAAAAGGAGTGGAGGAGCTAAGAAAAGGGAGAACAGGAGAATAAAAGAGAGGAGAGGAGAGGACATGGGGAAAAGACATGGAGAAGAGGAGAGAAAGTAGGTAGAGCCAAGGAGAGAAGAAAGGCTAAAAGATGAGATGAGAGTGAACAGAAAAGGGAGGAGGGTAAAGGGGTTAGGATAAGGGGGAAAATGAGGGGATTAAGAAAATACCAAGAAGGGGAAGATGAGATAATGGAGAAAAAGAAGAGAATGAGGAAAATAGAGAGGGAACAAAAAATGAGAGTCGTAAGGTAAAGGAGACGAAAAATATGGATTAAGGCGGAGAAGAGAAAATGGGTAAAGAAGAGGAAAGGAGGTAGAGGGGGGTAAATGAGAAAATAGGAGGAGAGGAGGATGCAGAAACAGCCAGAGCTGTGACGAGAAGAGAGGAGCCTCAGTAAGACTGCTATTTGGATCCCCATGTGGCACTAAAATGGTTATATTGGAAAAGCCATGATGGATGGGTTGCGCACTGCTGAGGAGACAGCGCCATCTAGCGACTCTCTCATACCCGGAGACCCACCGAGCCCTGCAGTCTCATGTCACACTCCCTCTCACCTACACATACTACTATCCATAAACATCCCCCTCCCCGCTGCTTCACACTCAAACAATCTGCTGCTCGCGGTCATTTTTCACCCGGCTCCGTGCGTCATTATGGAGGCAACATGCGCCGTCACACAAACTGAGCGCAAAAACATATTTTGAATTGATAGCCAGTCTCGTGGGCCTTGCTGTGTGTGTGTGTGTGTGTGTGTGTGTGTTTGTGCTGCTTGGTTTTTATTGTGCAAGTGATCTGGGGAGCGTTATGGGAGCAGAGCGATAAGCCTGGTGTCATTGGCGTCTAATCATACTCCATGTTCCTTATCGGCTCCGGGCTCAGGAGACGGAATGAACTGTGGAGAGGGGGGTGAGGAGGAGGAAGAGGAGGAGGAGGTGGAGGGATACGGTGGGAACTAGCCTACTGTAGAGATGGAGGGAGAAGGGGAGAGCGAGAGGGCTGCTGATGAGGAAGAAAAAGTGAAGGATGAGAGAGGTGAGGGGGGGAGTATAGGACATGAGAGAGGAAGGAGAGAGAGAGATTTAAGGGTCTGCTGCACTAAAAGCATATAAAGGACCAGTGCCAGGCCCCGTGTCCCGACTCACCTCACCTCCCACACAGCACAAACCCACCTTGTGTAAGAGGATCCGCTACTTCCATGCAACTTCCCACTGCGTGTCCCGTGTGTGGGTATGCAGCCACAAGCCTGTGCGCACGGGCCGCGCGCGTGTGACCGTGTTGGGGTTATCAGGAGTGCTAAGGATGGGTGGTAATTGAATAATGACAGTAACGCCTCTGATGGATTACCTGTCACTCTTCCCTTTTCTCTCCCTCCATCACTGTCATCTCTCCCTTCTCTGCCGCTCTCGCCTCGCAACCTCCGGTCAAATTGTCTCCCGTCCGTGCCATCACCCGTGCCAGCTGAGATAAAGACACCCACAAACACGCAAAATGACACGCCTGCACGGATTCTCTCTCTCTCACACACACCCACACACACACACTGCAATCATGCATCCTCACCTCACACACTTTTATTGGTATATTATTGTCATTCACAAGGAGGGGAAGGAGTATTTAGACCCTTCACTTTATTAAAGTTGAAATTTCTGCAACAAGTATTTGCGGCAAAATGCCCAAAAGTGCAAAATGCCTGAGATATGTTACACAAAATTTCATCAGTGGTAGTAAGTAGTAATACTGCACTATAAAATACTCTAAATATATATATGTATATCAGTAAAAGCACTGCATTAAACATTTTATGGTATCAGTAACACTTACTGAAAGTATCCAAAGTTTAAATTGTCATTATGCAGAATGGCTTATATTCTATTACTAGATTGTTATTAGTGATGCATTTACTTTCCCCTACTGGCCTTTCCTCTCTTTCACACCCCCGCCTCAAGGTTGAGTGGGTTGTATTAGGGCCTTGTTAGTTGTTTTTATTTGTGCATTACAGCAAAATGGCCAGCGAGAGAGAGAGAGAGCTGAGGATTGAGAGCGATTGCAGCACTCTGCTGCAATGCAGTTCAATCTACAGTATCTGCTAGCTGCTAAATGGTACTCCTCCATCACAGACAGAGAATTTCTCTAAAGGATTAATGTTGCATTCCCAGCGGGGGCATTTGGATCCATGCTAAGAGGAGGGCTGTTTCTACATGGAGACCACCTATGTGGCGTGTCCCTGATTCACCTGTCTACCTGGGAAGTGCTTCTCTCCACCTGAGTGAGCACCTGAGTCTCTGTATGCAGGTCTTTGTTGTGTGTGTGATCTCTGATTTTTTTTCCTACCTCTCCATGTCCTAATTCCTCCCTTCGTTCTTTCCTTCCTCTCCCAAACGGCCGTGAGGGAGCGAACAGCCTATTTGTGAGTGAAAGTGTGTGCGAGAGGCAGAAAGACTGGAAGGGAGTGTGAGATGGAGCAAGAGAGATGATATCAAGCGTAATTCATTTCCACACAGATATCATATAGCAGTTTCAGGATAATTAGCTAGAAAGGACTGGAGAGGATTATTTTCTTTATCATCATTCATTTAATTGGTTGAAAAAGAGTAGGTTTGCAGCACTACATTCAGGAGGACTATTTACATCAAGCCTCTTTGAAGACTGTCGGGCAACAGTAGAAACGAACAGCACCAATGGTACACACCAGAGTCGAATTAGTACAACAGATATGCCTTTATCCTTCACAAATTAGGTACAAAATATTGCTTGTCTAAAGAATCGTGGCGTCTTTCATCTTGCACAATCACACTTGGGGCTACAGGAGATGAAATGTGACTTTATTTTATTTCAAAAAGTCCCTGCCAAAACCTGCCGTCGCCTGAGCAAAGTACTGCAGATACATTCCTGTATTTGTATCTATTGCACTAGTTCTGACTCGCAGGATTTCTTCCAGCACGATGAGGTCAAAAAACACAGTTTGACGAGGAGAACTTCATCCGGTTTATCAGTTTATTGCCGAGCTCTGTGGTGTATAATGTGAAAGAAATAATAAAAGTGGAGATGACAAGTAAAGCCCAGAATTACAGTCTGTTACACGTTTTACAGTACATGATTCCGTAGGTCAAGTAAGGTTGGTGATTTAACCGTGACTCTTTAATTACAGTTCCTTAAACATGTCAGAAAAATAAATGATCCTCTGGATTTTTTTGACAATCGCTGTTTCTTCATAGCACATTAATTTGGTAATTCTCTCCTTCATGACAATTCTTTGATAATATGACACACTGCACTGACTAATTTCTGCTTGTAACACCATCCTCGAACATCCTCTTGTTAGCAACGCTTACCTTCTATCGTTATCAACATCTCACTATAGGTAGCAATCTCAAAGTATAAATGATAAATTGTAGAAGAGTCCACATATTCCTTAATGTGTTGAAGCAGGACAGACAAAGTAGGGTTTGGAGTGCACATTTTGGGAGTTTTGGGTTATGCAAATGTTGTCACAGATAAGAAAATTATCAAAGCTTTTAAAAAAAACCGGCTTACTCAGGGGTCACTGGAGACAACCCAAAGCCCTAATCCAGTTTCTCCTAACTGTATAGTGTAACAATACACTGTGAGCTGGCATGCTCTGGTCCACTATACCAGACGTGAGAAAGCAGTGATCCAAAGTCGTAAGCTATACAAGCCATGGGAAAGCAGCAATCCTATCAACACCCTAACACATAGGCACATAAACGTACACAGACATGCACATACACACACTTCTTCTCACTCACACACAAACAGTATGATATGCCAGACTTCCAATTAGGGCAATAATGGCTGTGGGAAAAAGTGTATACACACACATAGACACACACACATACAGTAACTGAGACTTCTAAGCTCAAAGTTAATAGCACCCAGTTGTTCAGTGCCAGAGACAGACCCTGTGGGAGGAGGGTTGGGGGGGAGGTGGGTATATGGGTGGTACTGAAGCTTAGAGTAATGCAACAAGAAGACATCATTTCCCAGCAAACACACAGGGTAGGAACATTTAACAAGACTTTGTTTGTATGTATAAATCAATATTGGGGGAGACGTTTCATGTTTAAGGGGGTAATTCCACTAAAATCAAAATCCTCTTTTCAAAATCTGTCAATAACATACGAACCACAACACTCATTAACCTGCACATCTTTTCTATGTTATTGTTATTTCTATCCCTATTCTTTTCTATTTCCTACCCTTTCTTTCCAGCATCCTTTTTAAACCTAAGCTCAATTTCAGGGACGTTTTTCCTGAAATCTTGTATTAGCTGATTATCCCTTCTTAGCGATGTCCTACCCTGCCAGCCAGCACACTAGAGGAAGTACTAGGTTGCAGGAGGACAAGGATATAATAACAAAGCAGGGGCAGTGAAATGCAGGGAGAAAACGTGACACAAAAAGCAAAGCGAAAAGCGTGAGAGATGGCAAGTTGGAGTGGCAGAGGGATACATATGGCAGGGAGGGAAGGCAGAGCGGGAAGACGGAGACTCAGGGATGGGGTGGAAGTTGATGCGCTGGATGTCTTCCTCCTGTTCCATCAGCAGAAGCCTGTTGGAGAGAAAGCGCAATAATGAGAACAGCTGCAGTGGATACACACACACACACACAAAGAAGAACACACTCCTCCATCCACTTAGCCACCCGTTTTTCATCAGCAGATCCACATAAACACAGAAGCAAAAACACACTCACCCTCACACTCGAAGGCTTGCAGCATGGTGGTGTAAGTGGGGCCCAGCCAAGAGGTGTAGCTACCCAGAACCCTCTGCAGGTGGTGGGTGGCATCACTGAAGAGCAGATCGGATTCGCCATAGCCTGCCGAGCTGAACAGGCTGAAACCCTCGGTTGCGTTGCCAAACACATTCTGCAGGAGAGAGAAGGTGTATGACAGGACTTAATGCATGAGGGCATGCATGGATGTGCGTTGGCGTGCTCTTCGTACGTGTGTGTTTGTTTTGGTTAGTGTTTGTGTGTGTGTAGCCAGGGGATCCGCACAGGATGTATCAGTCATCCTGGCATCTCCCACACACATACTCAGTAAGGAAGAAGGATGACAGTTTAGCAGAGACCTGCGTTATGAGACGCTCTGATCGATAACACAGACTCCACGGAGATATGAGAGAGATATAAACACACATATCGGGGGAACAACACACACACACACACACACAAACACACACACACACACACACAGAGCTGATGCATTTTATGTCCGCATCCACCTGTAAACGTTCCAGGTACTTCCAGACACGACACTTGTCTTCCATGCGCACCACCACAGCATTAGCAGGGACGGCTGCCAGGTGGCATCGTTCATACTCATCCAGACCCGCCTCAGTTCCATCTGGGCACAACAGCTTCAGGTCCTCCAGCTCCAGATCCAGGGCCCAGGACTCCTGGTTCTTACCTTTTTTCATTAAAAAAAATGCGTAAGTAAGTGCATGCTATGTCTCTAAGGTTTGAGAGTGGTGTCTTTTTTTTTTTTTGGCCTTTCCAAAACCAAAAATACAAGAATAAACACGTCATGCCGGAGAGAGACTTGCCATTGGTCGTGCACGTCCTCAAAAATTAACATGAAGCTCCCGTCATTACACAGCGTGTTAATTTGCCCAGATATAAACTGCATACGTTAGCATGCCTGAGTTACTGTAGCTTACCACCTTTAGTAATCTTATCTCCAAAGGCAGGGGACATGTTATAAGGTAACTACATTATTTTCTGGGGTTACAGTTAGAAAGATATCTGCTTAAGACTGATACCTCCACTGTCTGGAAGCCAAGATGCAGAGTTTAGGCTAACATTAGCGGCTCTGGCCTGCTCTTTATTTGGTTTGGTTTCCAGATCTTAATGCCAAGATCTAATTACAAGTTGGAAGTCATGAAGTCATGAAGTCATGAGACTGTGGTGAAGCCAAACGGTAATGTTCTAGCATTAACGAGTCAAAAATCATAAAAGTGGTGAAGCTTATCTTGCTGAACAGACATCATAAACTTTTGTTTGCCACTTATTTTCTGCAATAATCCAATGGAAAAATCCCACTGACTTTTTGTTGAAGCAACCAGGGCGATGCTAACTTCATCACGTGTATTATTTCTGTCGTCAACTAGGTCACCTAACAGCCTGTTACTCCAATAAGTTTTGATTTGACAACACATTTTTTTAATTGTTTTTTTTTTTCTCTTTTGGGGCTGAACCTGAATGTTGACTTTATATTTTGACTATTTCACACCGAAGAATTTAAAAAGCAAACACAGCCCCATTTAGCCAAGCAAATAATTAGAGGCAAAAAATAAACCCCCCTTGAAACTACTTTCTCCTTCCCTAGCCAACAGTACAGGCCTTCTGTGTTATTTTGACCTCCGTTAATTGGTGTGACTCCGGACATTTCTGAACCATATGAGAAAGTATGCTTCGTTAAACAGCTACAGTGTTTGTAGAGCTGGTGTCAAACTGCTCCTTCTCGGCTGTACCAGCAGAGTCTGTGTAGCGTGACTGCGATAATGATCACCATTAATTTTGGATGTTGCCCAAAGCGGAGGAGCAGATGCAGCAAACAGAGAATTAGGCCATTTCTTCGCTGGACAAAAATGTCTGAACCACTGTCTGTATGATATCTGTTTCTTTCCCTTTCTCACTTATTTCTCGTTTAATCTGACTGTTATCCATCTCTCTCTTCATCTGTGTCTGTCTCACAAACACACACAGATATCATATACCATATAATTTCAGTGTAATATGTTCATTGTATTGTGGATTTCACACACTGTGAATATTACTCTTATGAGAAACATTGTGAAACACTGACATCCTGTGTCTTGGCAGGGACTAGCACTCTGCTGGCCTGAAGTAACCTCACCATAAATCATTTAAATTCTAAAATGATATCATTATATAACCAGTTGTGTAGTCTCTAAAATGCCACATTAACACTGACCATCCAAATTGTCAAAAACCGTGGTGTGTTTGACAAAGGCCACGTCGCCGAGGTTCTCCGCCACACACCTGAAAGAAAAAGAGACATTTATAATCAGACACATTTAATCTATAAAAAGATCAAAACATGAATAAAGTGGAAAACAGCACACTTGGGAATGTGTTATTGTAACAGCATGACTCTTGAGACCATAATTAAACTCCCTCTGCCGCCTATTGTTCAAGAATTGAAAGCAGCTCCCGAAGCCCTTTTATTCTCATCTCAAACACACTTACTAATATGCCAAAGGCCATTTTACTGAGCACTGCTGCACTGTGACACAAAGAAATATATACAGGAATGAAATTATGTCATTTTAACATTTTGTTATATTGTCACAATTATAACACAATGAGTGAAAAGAAATCGCAGCACACAAGAAATCATGCAAGGTGTTTGTTCTCTTGTTATTTTGATCTGTTTGCAAACTGTTTTAATGATTTAATGCTTTTCGATTTTTCTGCTTTGAACACACCCTAAAAAGACTCACAAGGGTACACATTCATTACTGTATTATTACCCTCATCACTGTATAAGCTTTTTTTTTTCAGAGCTCACTATTTTTCCTTAATGGAGAGGCTGAAATAGATATAAAATAGCGGAGACACAGAGGCAGGGGTCATGATATCTACTCCACCTCTGGGTGCCATTAGTGTATTATTTCCCACGTTCTTTGCATCAGTGTGGTACCTCAGTGCCCCTGCCTCTCCGTAGTGCCTCTCTCTGTGGTTGCTGGCACAGATGTGTCTGTCGTTCTCGTCTCCTATACAGGCCTCGCACAGGTTCTTGGGGTTGTTGCCTCTGGGGTCGTGCCGGGGGTCCTTAACACCGGGCACGCAGCTGTAACCAAAGAAGTTGCCAACGGCTGGTGGAAAAGACAAAGAATTGAGGAAGTTAGAGGAAGAAGGGGGAAAAGGTTGAAGGAGGATAGTTCTTTTTTTATTTAGGTCACCAATTAGCCACGTCTAACTTATTCTGCACTCCCCCAAGAATTATGATAAATTATATTAAGTATATTTTATACACGTGTGGTGTCAAAGTGAGGTGTTCAAGCTGCAACACTTGATTTAATTACTGATTACATAATCAGTTAACACAAAATAAATCAGCGACTATTTTGATGATCAATTAACATTCATTAGTTTTAGCTTCTAACTTGTGTAGATTTGCTGTTTTTCTTATTTTATGATATAAAACTGAATATCTTTGGATTGTCAGTTGGAGAAAAAAAGGCAATTTAAAGACATCTTTATTTAATTGTTAATTGATTAATTGAAAGAATAATTGTTGATTAATTGATAATTAAAATAATCCTTAGTTGCATTAGTGGGTCTATTTGTAAGAAAAGGTTGCAAATTTGTATCCTTAATTAAATTACATGCAGGATTTTTAACTGTTATTTGGTAACTGTCTTCTAGGGTTGTTTATCCTATTTTTGTAGTGTTGATGTATCTGTAAGAGATAATGCCCAACAAGGTGTCCATTATATGGAATTAATGGATGATGGGAAGCCAACCAACATGAATTTAGAACAGCACACAGACAGTTTCACAGGAACTACTTAGAAGGTGTCTTATATCAGGAATTCAAAGACACTCAGCAGGCAATCAGAATTAAGTATTCACCCAGACCATCGTATAATTAACAATAATACCAACGTTACAAAAGAATAAGTAGCAGCAAATTTGGAAAAGCAATTTGGCATTTTTCTACACTTTTCTATACCTTATTGTCAACAAATTCTATGAAAAGAGAGGTAGTTTATCTGTCAATACTTTTCAATACTGTCTAGTCTGTGGCATTCAGACTAGACATTTGTTCTTACTAAAGATGGAACTTTGGTTGGTCATGTTTGTGTGTGTGTGTATATATATGTATTTATATATAAATATGTTTAATTCTTTAAAAGGTTGAGTAATTTTTTTTAGGACAATACTGCTGTATTAATGAGGAATTCTTTCCTGCTACAGAATTGGTTCTCTGAGTATTCACAGTAGCAAGACGGTGTATGTGAGATTGATTCAAAATAAACTACAGTGTCCATGTTTATCATATTATAGGAACATGTCACCTAGTGCAGCACTGTGGTTCATTTATGTGTTTTTAAGAAGACATATCAGACTCATTTGTGAACAATAAGAAAAATAGGATAAATATCCCCAGCCATATCCTTTAAAAGATATTCATCTGCTCAATCTTACTTCCTTTTCCTCTCTTGCAGAAATTACGACCTTCCAATGTGTCCTTCTGTTCATCGTTACCCCCCTCCACACACAGACACACACACACACACGCACACACATTTACAGAGACAGATGCACTGTTCTCTAACTGACTCTTCTCCTCTTACCTCCAGTCCTCTCAATCCCTTCACTCTTCATTCCACATCACTGCTTACCCTCTCTGAACCTTAAAGCTTCCACACATACATACACACACACACACACACATCCACTTATACACCTTTCCTGCTTCAACCTCCCCCCCGCCCCATGCATCTCTGTCTCACCTCTGGGAAAGTTGCACTGCTCCCCCACGCTGATCTGAGAAGTGTTGACCAGATAGCCAATAGGAACAGTCCACCCCACCGTGGTGCGTATGCCGGGGTGACAGGAGCTACGCTCGTGCATCTCCAGCAGGGACAGGTCTGAGGACGAGCGACGTGCCATCGCTACCACGTAGTAGCTAATACCATCTGGAGGGAGGGATTGGGACAGGTGGAAAAAGCAATTGGGAGTCATTTTTTAGATCGGGGGAGCATGGGAAAAAAGGAAAAAAAATTATTAATAAAGATACAAAGAATAATGCATCTGTATATATGGGGCTCTAGCAAGCGGAAGTTATGTTGCAAGATATGCAGATTCCAACATATTTGGGTATAACCATGACTTTACATTCAGTGACATACATTAGTGAAGCTGCTGAGGCTTCAGTGTCTACCTGCTGAAAGGCAGAAACCTGTGACTTACCCACTCTGTTGTGGGACTCTCCTGCAGCCAGCTCTAGGCCATGGCAGAGGCCAGCAGCATAGATGTCATCTGCAGTCATGGAGGCTGCATCTGCTGTCCCATTCTGACAAAAACACATATATTTTCTCCATGTCAGATGACTAATGCACAACATCGTGCACAACACAAGCTTGTTTTATTTGACTGGTGCAGCTGAAAATTATTTCAAATGACAAGTATCTGATGGATCTGCTATCGGAATTACAACTTAAATTACAGATATTTATCAAAAAGCTAAATGTGGCCAATTAATGAAGATGTGGACATACTGAGATGGTGTCAAACAAAATGGTCCAGAAGAACTGCTGAAGATCATGTGTAATATTTCAGCCTATTACTTTCCACCACCAAAATCTCTCATTTTCTTTTGGAATTTGAGTAATAAATTAAGTAATGCAGACTAGAAAATCCACTTTCCCATCCTGTTTCTTCAAATACCTTGATTTTGTCAATACAATCTCTGGTGTTCAGGCCACGGACACATTGCAAAGTCCCTCTTATATTCTGAGATGTAGCGTTCCCGGCCAAATCCAGACACTTCTGCTCCTCAGCGTCAGACAATACACACCAGGAGACTGTAAATTAAGTGAAAAGTAAATGCAAATTTCCCTGTAGAAGAGCACACACGCGGTATCTGTGAAGGTGTTAAGAAAACTCCATATTTTAAAACATTACTTTAAACATCAAAGTAAGAAATAGTATATATAGTATATAGTATATATAAATTGAACATTCTTTTGGACGTACCTATAGTTCTTGGATTGGAGACACAGCTGACAGACAGAAGAGGCAGAAGCAGGAGGAAAGCTACAGGCAGCCTTCTCTCTGGACGCTCCATGTCGGCTCTGGTAGGAAACCTGCTTGGGACAATCTCACTAATACAAGAGAGATGAAGAGCAGGTGGATTTCATTGAAAAAAGAGTCACTCGGGTACCCCCTCCCTCTCATATAACCTGGTCCTGAGACAGAAAGAGAGAAGGAGGGGTAAAAGGTGGGAGAATGAGGCAGGTAGACTGGATGTAGAAAGAAGAAAACATTACATTATTCCTCTATCCCCCGCCTCTTAAGTCAAAGTGCCCAGTAGATAATCCTTCCTCCATCTCATGATATAGTATAGCATTTCCCCCTTCAATTATCCACTGAGACTTATCCCCAGTGGAAAGGATAGTGGTGGACACACGTAGACTCGGAGCAGTTCAGGTCACCTGGCACACAGTGTTGACCCGGGGTCTTTAATTAAAAAAGCTGTGGACAATGTGTCTCTGTGCTGGAGCTGTGTTCGTGGAGAATAGATACCGGCTGGGTCTTGCTCCGACTCACTGGAGACTAAAGCACCAGGTAAGCAAGAACAAACAGCACTGGCTATTGTTCGCAGCCACGAGATCCAGTGGAGGGAAAACATACCGGCTACTTGATACAATTCTCCCTTTTCACTCTCTTTGCACACACATACAGTGATATGTGATCGGAGCCACCCGAGAAGTAAATAAATCTAAACAGGTAGAGTTTGTAGATGAGTAAAATCATTCATCTTCTAGTGCACCTTTTAGTTGCAGTGTTGTGTAATGATGTATAAGCATGACTGCACGGGAGATGAAGGGTAATCTTTGTTTTTTGGAGCAGGAGAGCTTTTTAAGGGGGCAGGATGAGGTATCTGATCCTCAACATGCTTGGGTGAAGGGACAAGGAAGCACAGAGGGTCACTTGGACTTTCATCTGTTTGCGCAATTAAAGGCTGCAAATCAGTCAGTGAGCTCCAGTCCCTTTTTTCCCCTTGGAAGTTTGATATCCTCAAACTGAGAAGCACCTGATTCACCTGCGTACTGCTGGAAGATGCATGGAGAACCTCGTTTTTAAGCACAGAGGGTCTTTTTAAAGCAATTATATGCACTTTTTCAAGATTTCCAGTGAAGGCAAACAGCCCAAGGAAGCTATTAAGCTTGTCTCATCTAACTTTTGACAACAATCTAAACAACAGCCTCACAAAGTCAGTTATATGGCATGTGATGTGTGATACAGCGCCTCTGCTCTTTCCACCAAAAAGCTCATGTTTAATTTCACAAAAGTGCATTAATGTCTTATATTAGTGAAGGGGGTCTTTGTTTCAGGCATGATGGGGGTTCGTCTGCTATTAAACACTCCAGGATATATATATATATATTCTTTCTTTGTTTCTTCGCATGTAAATAAATCAGCATATGATGACTTTTGGTATTAGAACACCTGGCATATATTTTACTTATTCATGAGTATATATTATGTTCCAGGTTAATTATCTCTTCTTCAAAGGTGAAGGGTTTATCTGTCATGCAAACAGTAAACCACAGTAAAAAAAATTCAAGTTGACCCTCAGAATAAACTGTGAGAGGCTCATATGACAAAACACTCGGATTGATGAATCAAGCATTGATCTAAATTTAGCTTCACCACAGACTTTATGGAGCTGTAACAGAGAATGACAGTGACTAAGGTGTCAAAAAAAATTAATTCAACAGAAATGTAGTCATCAAAAGTAAGTAAGTACACAAATGCACAAAATACAAGAGAGATTATTAGCTGAAGTTAGTACATTATTAATTATAAACTGACCAATTATATGAGTTTTATCAAACTAACAATCCTCTTTGGAAGTTATTAAACAAATTTCTTATATGGGGAAACTAAACTTTATTGACAGTTTCTTTAACCAGTAATTGTTCCTGGATGCTTTATTGTCTGTCTGTGTTGTTTCTAAATGTCTTTGAAGCTATTTATGTGACATTAGATTGACAAGTGAATGCTTAAGCACATAAACTGGACTGTAAGATGACAGTATGATTTAGTCAATATCACAGGATGTTCAATGACTTCTCTCTGATGCTGTTAAAGTTGTCTGAGTCATACAGTTTGTATTTGGAGGGGACGTGCTCATACACCACTCCTCCTCTAAATCTATCTTTAGACTACAGAGTGAGTTACATATGAAGTAATTAATGACATCTTTTTTATGATAGTGGGTTTCAAATTCTAGCTATACAACAATGTAAAAATATATTTGTATGTAAATTTGCAAAATATGTAATATGTTAAACTTACACACTTATAAGAGAATGTCCCATATTTTAATATGTAGCTAAGTATAAAAGTTAATACTTTTATACGTATGTACTTATAATGTTGTAGTAGTTTAGTTGTTTTTGACAGTATGAATGTTCATTCGTTGCCTTTTTTCTTCTCTCTGCACATACATTTCACATACTATTCATATCATCATCATGAATTAACTTTCAAAATAAAACTCAAGATAAGATAAAACTCAAACTCAGGGATTAAAAATGTAAAACCTTTAGCAATGGTGCAAAGTAACTACACAAGTACTGCACTTATACAACACTGAGGTACTTGTACTTTACTTATAGTACTTACTCTACTTACACTTTCATTTAATGCTTTTTAAATTTTCACTGAAATGGGTCATTCTGCCAAATGAATACTTTTAATTTATTATTTTTCCCCCACAATATTTTTATTGTCTTTTTCTTGTTTTGAACATCCGAACAGTTTAACACTATAAAAACATACATTACACAGTCACACACACACACACACAACACAAAATAGTATTTTCAGGAAAAGCTTAAGTTTATGTCTTTATTTATATTAATGTAAGGCTCCTACAACTGAACAAAGTCTTGCCCTTTGCGATGTAGGCTAGTCCAGACCAAAGAAAAGCTCCTTTATCCACACACTCAATAATGGTGCATTCATACTCTTCCAGCATAGTGCAATACCCCTTTAATTTATAATATGTTACTTTAGATAGGCATATATTTAGCTAAAACTTCTGTACTTATACTTGAATAAGATTTTGAGTGCAGAACTTACACTAGCAACTTTAATTACATTTTAATAAGCATTTGAATACTTCTTCCACCACTGGACGTATATTCTGTTAAATAAGTAATAATACAACATTTACCAAAATAATAAAGTGCCAGTATTTAAAATGAGCACAGAGGGTTAGTTCCCAATGAACAGCCATATAAAGCCCACTGCATTAATATCTCCCTGATGTTATGGTTATTTTCGCCTACCCGACCTGTTGGAGGACTCCTCCGCCCCACAATGCACCTTGGTGATAATGTTTTGGTGACGTCACGTGTGGCTGGCAGTAGGTGGGCTGGGCTGTGGTCCTGCTTTTCTTCTTCTTCTTCTTCTTCTTCTTCTTCTTCTTCTTCTTCTTTACATCGCTAAAAAAAAAAACACCTTTAATATAGGACACACAAGAAAACACCACAGAATGAGTTAGAGGCTGTGTTTCCCGTGTGCCAGGTAGGTTGTGTGTGTGTGTGTGTGTGTGTGTGTGTGTGTGTGTGTGTGTGTGTGTGTGTGTTGACAGTCCTCGCCCGGGCTGCGCTTTGTGCTGTGCAAGCTAGCTTAGCCTCGCTGGGGCTAACGGCAGCATCGGGCAGCCGTCTGTCTGACTGGCGCCTCCGAGGCGCCTGTGGTCGGCCAATAAACCCGCTTGTTAATGGCCTGTTAGCTACAGCAAACAAACAGGCTTTACAGTCCGTGAAGGAAGACGTTTGCTGATAGCTTTTGCTTGCTCGCGTGATTTACGCCATTACCACGGGCTGTGACATTGAAATGTAAGGTGTTAGCTTGCTTGCGGAGTTGTGTTATTGTTTGTTGTCAATGTAACTTCCGTTAGCCTGCGGAGGAACAGCAGAGCAAATGTTGCCTTTTAAAGCCAGTAGTAAGCAATTAGCGTGTTAATCAACAACTTAAGAAGTAACCGCTTGATTATATTACGTCAAGGTAAAGACATTTGACTGGTTAAACTAATAGTGTAATTAAATTCCAGGTGGTTGTCTTTGAAATAGCTGCAGGTTATTCTATAATCAGTAATGTGTATTAAATAAAGCTTTGACAAAGACAAACAGAGGACTCTTTGCGTTCAGCCATTATAAGTTGATGCTTCCTTTCTGTCTGAAGCCTTGGCAGGGATCATCAGAATACATAGACGGGGTAAATGTAATTATCCTCTTTGCAAGCTTGTACTCATTTGAACTCTCTCTGGCTCCTCTTCCCCCCTCTGTCAGTGCACTGAAACATGGATCGTTGCGGTGTCCACGTCCTTCTGCTGCTCCTGCTGCAGACCCTGCAGATATCAGCTGAGGGCTCAGGTACTGTCTCTCCTCTTTATGGTTTACTGCCATCAAACTGCGATGCGTCTCGTTTTGTTGTCTCTTCTTACTGTGCACTCAAATGATGATGAGTGACAAATATATGGCTGGTAAGAAAAGGGTAGCCATTGCCTGTCTCTGTTGTAAAAGTCCTTTGAGCTCAGAGTGATGATTTAAAGCTAAGCTGAGGTTTAAGATGCATGCAGATGTTGTGGCATTTTTACCATGTAGGTGATACTAGATACAGGTGTCATAATTGCCATGTAGTTTAACCATTTGGCAATGCCACGATAACATAACAGCTTGCTAGAAATCATTGCAACAACTAATTAGCTCTCCAGAAATCAAAAACAGAATTCCTCTGTCTTAAAAAATATTGACGACCAACCTCCTCCGAGAGTACCAGCCTCTCTTCATCTCTCTCAAACAACTATTGCCCTTTGCTATGCACTTATGTGTTACTTGATGCACCTGCAGCCTTATGGCACTTGTGTCAAGAGTGGTGCTGGAGCCAGATGTGATGCATATAACCTCCAAAAGCACCGTTCTGGCTGTCCCATCCAGCCAAACTCCATTTTGCAACAGATGTTTAACAGTTATGAATCTCCACTGCCAGACCGGCTTACAGAAAAAATGCAGTTTCACAATGAGTAGTGTTTTGTGGAGGATTTGTTATTTGACCATTCTAGTAATCATTTATGGATATTAAAGCCTTAATTTTGTGTGCAGTAGAAGTCCCAGCCTCCTGCTGACAACTGCTACAGGGCATCCCGAGTGCCCATTGCTGCTCGTCCGTCTTTTAGTGTTATGTTTTGCCAGATGGGCAGCTCGCTAGTTTGAGTTTGAGCGAGAAAGTTGGTGAAACTGAAGTCTGTCTGTTGGCTCGCTGCCTGAAATAAATCAACAGCGGCTACGTGTTTCTATGCACCGCGAATGCGAAACGGCATGAGTGTATTGTGAACTCATATCATCTCTTCCACAGATGGACAGTTGGTGTGTCTGTGTGATGGCCCTAAATGCCTCCAGCCCACCCAGTGCCGCGGTACACGTTGCTTCTCCTCTGTCACAGTCAGCAGCGGCGGGGTGGCGTTTGAGCGCGGCTGCCTGAATGGGACGGATAAAATCCTTTTACATTGCTTCACGGCTCCGTCCTTCCATCAGGCCATTTTCTGCTGCTCACTGGACATGTGCAACAGCAACACCAACATGAGTTCGCTGATGTCTCTGCTTCCAACTGGTAGATATTAGATAATATCATGCTTCATTTTAGCAAGGAAGGGCATTGTCAAATAGAGTTATTGTATTCTGTATCTAATTTTTCCATTTTCACCGCTCTGTATTGGTTACTTTTCTACTCTTGCTTGCTTACAGCCCCAGAAGGTGAGCCGGTCCGGTATCGCGTAGAGACCTTGGCCCTCTTTGTGCTTGGTCCGGTGGTGGTTCTGGCTCTGCTGTCTGTAGTGTCAGTTTTGGCCTGCAGGAGGCTCCACCACGGCCGTCTGCAGAGGCTGCAGGAGTTTGACACAGAGCAGGGAGCCATAGACGGCCTCATCACCTCCAATGTCGGAGACAGCACTTTAGCGGTAAGAATAAGAGGTTCTTGTTGAAACAATGTCATAACCATTTTCATGTATGTTCATGTATGTTCATGTATGCTCCTTCTAAAGATAATCAGATATATGTCTTTGTCTTTAGGATCTGCTGGACCACTCGTGTACATCAGGCAGTGGTTCAGGTCTTCCCTTCCTTGTCCAGAGAACTGTGGCCAGGCAGATCAGTCTGATGGAGTGTGTAGGTACGTATAACCCATCACAAGGCTGGATTGATTAATTTATTTAGAGCCTTACTGAGGACATTCAGTTAGTTAAGTCTTGCGTAAGCTTAGTCTCCGTTTGCTGTTGAGCACAGTTTTTGGAATGACTTCTGATACATATCTGAAAGCAATTTGAGAGTAACAATAAAAGGTCAAATCATTTTTGTGAAATGAACTGTCAAAACACAAGACGTGTGTTTGTCTTTCGGTTCTTTGTGTTGTTCTTGAAGTTACGACACTTGTCTCAAGTTGTTGATGTAAGATTTGCTCGTTGTCGGGGCAACAACAAATTTCAATTTGAGTGTTCAGATGAAAGTATGTAGGTCACATGCCTTGGGATCCTGTTTTGTACCACTATATCATACAGTACAGTGTGTGCCAGTTTGGAATTGGAAAAATGTGGCTTTGTGCTGTTGATGTGGAAACATCAGATCTGTGTCAGACAAATCAGACTCAGTTCCTTCAGCTGCAGCATGAATGTAGCCATAAAATAATGTAAAAATACCCTAAAAGCACTTTTCAAGACAGCGATCACCTTTTTAAAACTCATGTGTCTGTATATTCCCTTTTCTGTCTTCCTGTGCAGCCGTCACTCAATTTCTCCTTCTCCTCATCTCTCTTTTACAGGCAAGGGAAGGTACGGGGAGGTGTGGCGGGGCCAGTGGCAGGGCGAGAACGTGGCTGTAAAAATCTTCTCCTCAAGAGACGAGAAGTCCTGGTTCAGAGAGACAGAGATCTACAATACAGTGCTGCTAAGACATGAAAACATACTGGGTGAGTGTGTTAAACAATAAAATGTTAGATTTTGCAGACCAGTTGGTGCAAAAGGGGGAAAGGAGGATTTCCACATTCCTGTCCGAAATTATGGTTTTAGCATCGTTACCAAGAACATAGTTGTGATATAGCTGTTGTTGTAGAGAAACACGTTTTATCAAAATCTCTTGAAATAAATGTTTCTTTGACAGCTGAGTGCATGTGGCAGGGGGGTTTCCTTGTCTTTTTTAATCTCAGCATTCTTGAGTCTTAACACCTTTATGTTTGAAATAATAAATAAATGTGTAAGTGTGTAACAAATGTGATCCATGCAAGAGAAACTTGACTAACAAGGTATAAATTATACACAGTTTACACTTATTTCTCATCTGTTGTGTTGTTCTGTCTGTCTGTCCTACCAGGCTTCATGGCGTCTGACATGACTTCCCGCAACTCCAGCACCCAGCTGTGGCTCATCACCCATTACCACGAGAACGGTTCCCTTTATGACTACTTGCAGCGAGTTGCCGTGGAGACGTCGGAGGGCTTGGCGATGGCGGCGTCAATAGCTTGCGGCCTAGTGCACCTGCACACGGAGATCTTCGGCACAGAGGGGAAACCGGCCATCGCGCACCGGGACCTGAAGAGCAAAAACATCCTGGTCACAAAGGAGCTGCGCTGCTGCATCGCAGACCTCGGTCAGTCAGTGATCCAGTGTTTTTATTTTCATCTACGACTAATATTTATCTGTTAGTCTTTGGGTTTTCAGACCCTTCATGTCCTCAGCCCAGTGTTTTATGACCACTAACAGGACAATATAGTTACATTATTCCCTTTTTATAAAATGTATTTTTATTGCATTGCTGATATTCTTTCTCTACTCTTAACAAAGATTACAGAAGGATTAGATAATAGAAAGGTTTGATTTGTCACGTATCTTGTGGAGTCTTGATTGTAAGCAAACATTGTTTTGACACTTCACATCAAAATACCTTCTGTTTATCAAACAGATATGTTGACTGCATCTATTTCTTCTGGGCAATTTGTAAATGTTTGGAAACTAGCATTGTGTACACTGGTTGGCTGTCTGTTCTTTTATCAGTCTTTTGCACAATATGTCTGTATCTGTCCATCTGTTACCTGGTGGGCATTCATGTGTGTCTCCTATAATGGTGTACGTAACTGCATGTTACAGGGCTGGCTGTGACCCACTCCCAGGCAGACAACCTGCTGGATGTGGGCAACAACCCAAAGGTTGGCACCAAGCGTTACATGGCACCCGAAGTGCTGGACGAGACCATACAGACGGACTGCTTTGATGCCTACAAGAGAGTGGACATCTGGGCCTTCGGGCTGGTGCTGTGGGAGATAGCAAGACGCACATACAGCAATGGTGAGTGTCTTGCATTTAGGGCATTCTTAGGACTGTAACATCATAAACAACCACCTCTAATTCTGTATTCTTCTTATTTATCAGCACAAATAAAATAGACAGCATCATTATTGTATGTTCATATTGACTTTGGGACAATAGTTTATCCTCTTGCTCCAGTTTTTTGCAATAATTTCTCTCTTCTCACTTTGACTTTCCAGGTATTGTTGAGGAGTACAAGCCTCCGTTCTACGATCAGGTGCCAAATGACCCGAGCTTTGAGGACATGAGGAAGGTGGTGTGTGTGGAACAGCAGAGGCCTTTCATTCCTAACCGTTGGTTCTCTGATCCTGTGAGTATTTTACTATCTAATCCTGTTAAAGGAATGATCATTCACGGTCCTCTGGGGTGTCAGAATGTTTGGTCAGCTTCAAAAAAACGGGCCACTTGCGTTTCAAAAACATCTTTAAAAGGTAGTAAGTACTCACTGGGGTTTCAGTGTCTGGTGACTAAGCAGTGTTGCATGTGTGACGGTAAGATGGTAGTTACCAACCTGGGAGCCAGGATAAATCTGAGTGTGTGTACAAAGTGGGACTACTTTTAATAATTCCCTTTTTTCTTATGTAATATTAGATTATAATATTAGGCATTATCAGGACTTGTAGGATCTAAACCAGTGTTTCTTCAGAATATATTAGGCTCTCTAAATTCCACCATTATGACAGATGTTAAAATACAGTAGCCTACGGACAATTCAAAAAGGAGTCTAGTTTATCCTAATAAGGAGATTATTTATTTTTGAATCCTAAAAAGAACCAGTTCAAGAACCGGATCTAATGTGTTTATGGAAAAGGGGAAGTCTTGGTGCACACTTCTCTTCCAAATAGTTCCCGTTTGGAGACACAATTGCAGTGTTTTTGAAACCATTCATTTTTTTTTTTTTAAATACAATTTTAAATGAATTGGACTTCCATGTAAATGTGCCAGGGTTAGCTAATAAGCTAATTTTCATCAATAGTCCCTGGTCAGGTTACAACAAATTAGTGCTTTAATAATATAATACATTAGTAGATTACAAAAGTGACAGAGATAAATAAAAACAGTGAGATTATGTAAAGGCAGGGCCAGAGATGAGGTGGTTAGATTACTAATGGCTGACTATTCCAATAGTGGGCGGCTCTGAGGACACTGTTTGCCCAAACTTTCTACATCTGTATTGTACAACACGGTCCTCTGGTAGTTGCCCTTGTTGCTCTACTGCTGCTATCCTTCTACTTTATGAACTGGCTCAGTGGGGGAGGGGCAAGCACATGTAAGACCTTAAAAGTTAGGCAACGATCTGCAAAATGTTTAAAGCTATCTAAATTAAAAGTTGTACTTTTTAAAATTATTTTATGACTATGGTGATAACTATTGACCTGCTTTGAGAGTGCTTTTGGTGTCTGTAAGGTTTGTTACCATCACGTTTTAACTCCTAACTAATCATGGACGTATGAACGCGTCTATGTAACAGGCAGATATTGAATCGAAATATTACAGGAAATGCGAGACTTGATAGTATATACTTTTCAATTCACTTCAGAGATTTCTCCACATACCACTAGAGGCAGCTCACGTATCACCAGTGGTACATGTACCATAGTTTAAGAACCAGTGATAAAAAAAACTAAACAATGTAAGAGGGGAAAATCACTTTGATTACTGATAAAATGTCGGGCAGGGTGTTGATCTCCCTGCCTTCTCTCGCTTTATAAGTTGTTCCAGATGGTGTATTGTTGACCTAAGTATTGGGATGGTTCGAGATACAGATATTTTGTACTTTTGTTAGCTTGTTATGATGCGTTACATCCTTACAGTAAAATGCTAAACAAGGCAAGAGAGATTGGTACTCTGCCAGCACCCAGAATTTCCTTACACATCCAAAAGCTCTCGCAGTCACATTGATCGCAGAGTTTCCTCTGACTGTGGGCGACACTCCTTTTCATTTCACATCATGTGTTTCTCTCTCAGACTCTCTCCGCTCTGGTGAAACTGATGAAGGAGTGTTGGTACCAGAACCCTTCCGCCAGGCTGACAGCCCTGCGCATCAAGAAAACCCTGGACAAGATTCACAGCTCTCTGGAAAAGGGCAAGGAGTCGTGAGGGGGAGAGGAGCCTCAGAGGCAGCTGCCTGTTGTCAGGGATCGGCATAGAGAAGAGCCCAGTGTTCGTTAAAGGAGAAAGGGCAATAAGAGGGACGGACAGAGGACCAGAGGAAACAGTTGTTCAAGTGTCATCCAGTCTCATCCTTCTCTTGCTCTCTCACTTTCACTGTGGCTGCCTTCCACCGACATCCCTCTCTCTGACTTGAAGCCCACACAGACGTTTGGAACAGTCCTGTCTGAATAAGCCAGCCTTCGCTACAGGACACAAGCCTGTCGCCAATGTGTTCGCACTGACCTGAACTGTAGACAGTTACTGAGTGTGACGAACTTGGATGGCAAGTTGATCCCAATGCTTTAATGCCCATTTAAGACTGCTCACACACACACACACAAAACGCTACATAATGAGAGTCTCTTACAATTCAATTTCTGATCCCAAGCCAGTGATCGTGGCATGCAGTCGAGGCATTCTGCCCATAGACAATCACAAATGTTTCACTCATTTAGCTTTATTAGAACATGCCAACTATCGCCACACACACACACACACACACACACACACACACACACACACACACACACACACACACACACACACACACACACACACACACACACACACACACACACACACACTACTAAACACAAAAATATGTTGACTTACAAAAGGAAAAGAGCCAATAGAATCCAAATTGTTTTTAAACTTTTTAAAAATAGTATGATATTTATGTATTAAATCTCCACTGCAACCACACTACTGAGGATATGTAAGACTGATGTACACTGACTGTACGACGGTGCGTGAAACTGACTGTATACATATATAAGCATTTACTCTACTGGACTTTCTGTACCCATATTGTCATTATTGGAGCTAGTAGGAAATGAGTTGTTGAGAAATAGGAGAAAAATAGGAAATTGTTCCCGCTGAGCTTGATTGTTGTATGGAAAAAACACACACAGTAAGTACCTGCCAAAAGGCATTAGTCTGTATCTTATAATAAGAATATGAAATGAATTGATCTTCTCTTCCTGGCAACCTTCATAAACTCACTGTGGCTGGTTTTAAAAAAATGTCTTCTGCGCAGGAAGAGAGGATCAACCTGTTTGTGGTAGAGCTGACTTTTTTTTTTTAAAGATATTGGAGCTGGAGTCGTTTTCTGTAACGAGGTGGGCCTCACTCATCTCCCATCTTGCCACACTGTACAAGTTGCCTGAATAACAAAAAAAACACTCCGTCTTCATTTGGAAAGTGTTTTATTCAAGATTCATTTCAAACAGATGAAGTTGCCTAGGTGTGCGGTTACAAATGAATTTGTTCACAAATGCTGGGTTTGTTTTGGAAAAAAACTGTTGCTTTGTCTTTTTTATATGTAATAAAACATTTACTGCACTCTTGCCTAATGATTAGCCAGCACGTGTTATGGTTTCAGTTGCAAGTTCACTTGATAACAGCAGCTAAAATGAATTCATAGGGGTGTAAGAAAATATCGTATCATGATGTTTTGTTTCATCAATTGATTTTTGTAAACTGAGAGCCTCTATGCAGATTTTGTGCAAATGGTGTCCTTTATACTATGACCGTTTTCCTAAAGTTACATTTAAAAAAAAATCGTTTTGCTTACAGTATTGTAATATATCGTATTATACTAAATCGTAACTCCTGTATTATGAAACGTTTCGTATCACCACATTCTTGCCAATACACAGTCCAGTGTTAATTCAACTGTATGATCAATTTGGAGGCTGCAGTTTGTGGTGCTTTTTAGTTGTATTGCGTTATACTGACAGGTCTTTATATTATATTAATAAAAGAAAAACCTCTTTATATAATACAATTCAACAGCACAACTGATGATCACAAAGTTCAATCATCACGTAAAAACCAGTTCAACCAAAAACAACATAATGTTCATAAGTAGAGGATGGTTTTATTAGACTGCATTAGTTTTAGCTTAGTGTACCTAATAAAATGGCAACTGAGAGTACTGATACAAATACAGTTTTACAGTATAAGTCCTTTAAAACAACAACGAGGTCTCCATATGAACACTGAAGCAGGTTTTTGCTGTAATCATCCCTTCTGTTCATACTGGTAATAAAGAGATCCCTTCCTAAAAGTCCTCTTTCTGCGTTAAAAATATTTTCCAAACTAGCTGAAGTTGCTATGAAGCTTCAGCAGACTGAGTTTAATAACTCAAGTGAGTATCTTTCAGAACAGAATTCACTCTTTTAGCTCCACTCTCCTCCACTCCCAGAGCAATGTACGCACAGGAGGAATGAAAACAGCAGGCAATGTCTGTTTTAATGTTAATATGGGCACAAAAAACTGTGAACCTTTCCTTTAAAGCTTCAATCTGCAGCCGGTAAGTGATTTCCCTGCAGTGCTGGAATCAGGAATCCTCATTTCATTACAGTCATTCAAATGATGAACTCTACTACCCAGGCTGTCCACACATTACAGATTGTAACCTTTTAAAAAGGCACAAGACCTTACACTACATATCCAGACACTACTCACTCTTTGATTTTCTGTTTGCCCCCTAGTGACAACTAGTAGGCACAAGGACTGAAGATGTCAATCATTATCGTTCGACTCACTTCCTCTCAGCAATACCAGAAAATATGTTCTGTGCTTTTCATCTATAATACAAAGTGTCCTTCATTTAAAATCTAATCTACTTGCTGGATGGAATAAGGACTGGATCAGACTGAGGCTACTCTTTAAGTGAGCAGCAGAGGTAGTTGATAAGAGACTGCTACGGAACAAAGTCAGCAGCTTGTCCAACGTGGATGTCATTCTGAAAGTACTGCTTTGTGCAGATGACAGTGAAACTCCCTTTTACAGCTTTTGAGACATTGGTGTTTGCGGCTTGCCTGGCAAATGCCTGCAAAACCTGCTGCTCTGCACTCAATGTGTGAAAAAGGTATCAAAGGAAAGGGCATCAGCAGCCATAAACATGTGGTAATAAGCTTGTAGTGAAAATAGAGCTCCTGCATCAGCTCTGTATATAGCACCCATAGCAAAGAGACATTGTGGGTCATTTCAGGTCATCTGGTAAAGTCTTGTACGGGTTGAGGATGCCCTTTGGATCCAGCATGGCCTTGATATTACCCATCAGAGCCACAGCCTGGCTGGGTTTACTGTAGTAGATGTAGTTCCTCTTCTTCAGGCCCAGTCCGTGCTCTGCGCTGATACTGCCGTGACAGCTGGCCGTCCACTCGTAGACAAAGGGCTCGATGGCAGCGAGGAGAGCGGGGTCTTTGGTTGGAGAGGTGACGTTCAAGTGGAGGTTTCCGTCTCCTAAAAGGACAGACGGAAAGAGATGCAGTGAAAATCTTGGTATTATGTAGATTGAGCTGTTGTGGGTAAAGTAATCAAAGCATTACGAAGAAATCATATCTCATGCTACCAGACATTCATGTCTTTTCATCTTCTGGTCTTACCTACGTGTCCATATCCCACCACACTCTTGGCCCGGTCCCCCAGGTGCTCCCTCATGTCTGTCACCAGCTGGTAGATCCGCTCCACCGGAAGTGAGATGTCATACTTGTAAGTGAAGCCATCATGAGTCAGCGCCTCCGTGACACGTTCACGCATCGACCACAGAGCCTGAAAAAAGGTGGGAATGGAAAGGTTGACTGTTGACTGCAGCATCATCATTTGCATCTAAACCAAGGTCCCCTGATTCATTGTTGTTTTTAGAAAACACTACTCAAAGAGGGTTAGATTGCGTATTTGTTGGGGACTATTTTCAGCCACAGGTTTGGTGCTGTGGTGCAAGATTTGGCTACACATAAAAATACTTTTGCTCTGCTTTTGGTATTTATGTGGACTCTTCGAAAGATCAGAAACACCACCTTTATTTTTGAGTCTTCAGTTGCCACAGTCCCATCAGTAACCAATGACGATGTCATCGCCTCGTCTAAGAAATTGTGAAGTTTCTCCCCATCATGCGTTGGGTCAGATCCAGATGTTTCTATGACGACGTAGAAGGGACAATCTGCAAGATGGAGGGCAGAGTTTGGCATGTCTGCCTGTTTATTTGTCTTCTAAACTAATTGTGTGTGCATGCGCGTGTGTGCCTACCAGAGATGGGATTGGGTAGTTTGAGGTGTGTATTCAGCAGCCTCATACATTCACTGTCCAGAAATTCGTAGGCTGACAGAATCTCTCCCAGCATGCCTTTACAGAGCTGAAACGTCTTCAGCAGCTGCTCAAAGGTCTCACAACCTACAAATGGAAGAGAATAAAATCAGATATCAGCTAATTTATGAACAAACTCATAACTAAACTGTGATTGTGATTAGCCAATAATAATGTCAAAAGTGCAGTAGGATAGAGATAGATTAAGCAGCCGTTCCTACCAAGAAAAACCACATTAACAGATTTGGGTTTGCGTGGACAAAGGATGGACACAGCGGTGATAACTCCCAGTGTGCCCTCTGACCCTATGAAGAGCTGTTTGAGGTCATATCCTGTATTATCTTTCCGCAGCTTGGCCAAGCAGTTCAGCACTTGCCCATCTGCCAACACCTGTACATGCCACATATACATATAAATATATAAACATACAAACATTAGATCAGTGCTTTTATCCGTTATCATCAGAATCGTAACATCTCACGCATATCCTCTGTGAAAATGATCAAAGATCCACACTTGTTTACTCCACTCACCGCTTCCAGACCCAGCACAGTCCCGCGTAAGGAGCCGTATCGCAGCAGCCGGAGTCCACCTGCATTAGTGGCCACGTTTCCCCCAATGTGGCAACTGCCTTTTGCCCCCAGATCAAGTGGCATTATGTAGTCTCTCTCCTCCAGATAAAGAGACAAGTTCTCCAAGACACAACCTGCCTGACAGGTCAGAATTCCTGACAGATGGAGAAAATAAACTCTAAGGACTAGTCAAATATGCTGTAAGTAAAAGACACTTTTTCTTTTGAAAAGGTGAAACTTTTGTTTTTTAAGACTTACCAGAGATACTATCAAAGGTCAGGATGTTGTTCATGAGGGCAGTGGAGAGGATGATCTCATCATAAACCGGCACACTGCCCCCAACCAGCCCAGTGTTTCCTCCTTGAGGGTTCACCGCCAAGTTCCGACTGTTACAATACCTACAGAAGAAAGGGGAAAAACAACGACTTTAACTACCTTATAAACCCCTGACTTGTGTAGTTGTCTTTCCACCCACTACTTGTTCTTTACTTGAGAATTTGAGAAACATCCTCTGTTGTTTGAGGTCTCAGCAACACTTCACTGGAACCTGCAGAAGATGTATGAATAGAAGACATTAACATCAGTGAATGTAAGTGTGTGTAAGTGGAATGAGATAAATTCATTTCTAGTCATCACCTCTCACTGACTTCAGCCAATCCACATTATTTGACTCCAGCAGGTCCGGGTCGGTGATGGTTCTGCCGGGTAGGATCTTCCTGAAGAAGGCTACATCTTCCGGAGTTACTCTGGAGAAAGGCAGCCTCTCTGGGGCTGCAGCGGGGGACGGCCTATCTGCCCCAGCTTGCAGCTTTCGACAGCAGACTCCAAACTGCAACGAGGTGGTGGGAAGAAATGGACTGCGGCGGTCCACAGGTGAATGTCCGACTGTGGCTGTAGAGAAGAAGGTGCTATGGGGGCTCACATGTCTGAGAGCTGCCCTCAGTTTTAATGTTCTTTGGAGGATCCCCGCCATGACTGGATAGTATGTAGAGTCGTCAAAACAGGCTGCAGAAAAGAAGTGGGATGAATTATAAGTCTGTATCGATAGATAAATTACAACTTGACAACATGTCCCTACTCATCTGTCAGCTTTGAGTCTAGAGTAAATATATATTCTTATATATCATAGCTATATATTAGCTGCCTTGAAAAGTTTGGGAAAGATTTGGAAAACTGCAGAGAGAAACTGTCAATATATACATCAAGGAGGTCCGTGTCTGTGGTTCCAGTTGCTCATCTGAAGTTTCTTGGGTCATGTGACTTGAATTTTTTAATCTTTTTTGGTGCCTGCGTTTCTGATTAAAACATAAAATAACCAATAGAATTTGATAAACTTGCATTTTCACATGGGACACTTACATTTTCTTTGCGAAGCCTTAAAAATACATTCAGAAGAATCAAGTTGAAATTGTGCAACTTAAAATGATCTTTGGGCAGAGGTATGGATTTACAATATGAAAACAATGAAACATTTTACAGTTGTTTCCATTCTCCATTATACATCCATGGTTGTTTAAATGATTCAAATCCTTAGAGCCTCTTTGCTTCCATAGAGATGCCTGAACAAAATGTTACTTTTTTCTTACACAAATATTCTCTGCAAGTAAATAAATTCAGAAAACACAAATATATATATATACCTATATAAAAAGTATGAAATATGTATTTTGTTCAGGTGGTATTTTACCTTCCAGGATAGTGAATTTCAACCCTGTTCTAGATTAAACCAGTGACCACCTCTTCCTAACCATAATAGTATACTACCATACTTGTATGTTCTCTGAATGCACTTCATGCAAACACACTACTTATACAAACACGTATTATTTCCGTTCGACCTGATAGATAACGTTAAATGTCCTGAGCCTTATATTATGAGGCTGTCCTTTCAGTTAGCTTAGCTCCATTAGCATACTGACAGGACATTAGCTGGAGACTTCTTTATTTACTCACCATAAACGTTCACTTAACAGCCCGCATCTTTCTGCCCATGTTCCTTCCTTCGTGTCACATCTGAGAGCGAAATCTGTTCCAAAGTTCAAGGGCAGCTATTAAAACATGTCTCTCGTTCAGCGTTTACAAACTAACTTAGCTCCTGAGAGTTGACGGAAGTGACAGGTCACAGAGGCGAGAATGGACCAATCAGAAGCCTCCGTTCAGAATGAGCCAATAGGCGTGAGGTTGCGTCGTGACTGCGCAGCCAATGATGGCAGCGGAAGATAAAGTCACTGAGCGTCAAGAGGTTAGAGAGGAAATAGTTCATTAATCACTTTGTATTTGTTTGTTTTTTTAAATTAACTTTATTTAAAAACATAAACGAAACATGAACATACAATAGAAATAATATATTTGTTAAATAAATTACTGTATTTATTTACTTACTTATAATTTACTTCACAAGGGATCATATGAACTCCCCAAGTCATGCCTAGACTAAAAATCTATTACATTTTGCTGGTTTTTAATTTTTCCCCTGGAAGTTTGCTTTGTGCTAGGACTTGAGTTTACACTTTATTGTATTAGTAAAATTGATCAAAACACGTCAGGCAGACCTGTTGTATATTGACAATATGCTGACAGTGCTACCACTGACATTTCATTTCCAGAAAATTAAAACATCACTAATCTCATTAAGGAATATAAATGTACTCATATCTTCTAACTTTAAGGGTATTTATAAAGGCACTGCTTGAGTAGATTGAAATTGTGCCGTAGATCCCTTCTAACAGACAAAACAGTGAATAATACAGACATATTTGTCTTTTAAAGGCACCTCTCTTTAATGCAGGACTGATTCACACTCAGTCTGCCCTTTAATGGTCTAATTAATACATTGCTTGACAGTTTTGAGATGTTGGGGTAGGCCACACTGAAGAGGCAACACACTGAATTACTGGCTTAGTATGGATGCTAATGAAATAAAGCCTCGCAGACATGCATGTGGCCTTTAAATAAAGCACTAATGAAGATTATAAGCTTGGCAATTTATAGGTTCATCCATAGAGAGCATTAGGTCATTGGTGTTACAATCAATGAGATATACAGTGTGAGATGCATCTTGTGCAACAGAACGCAGCATGTTCAGCTTTGTTGTCCTTAATTTTGCTGTATATTCTGTCAATATTTATTGTCCATTATACTTGCTCTTGGCATGGTGTAGATTAAGAGCTCCTGGAAGTAAATTCCTTGTGTTCAAACAGCTTTGGCAAATGAACTAATATATTGATTTGACGGTCGTAAGAGGCAAAGCTCAGCTCACCGAAGAGTAAATGAAAGCTACAACTTGAAGCACTTTAAAATCAAAAAGGCATCTAAGAAAGTAAAAAATAGCAAACTTAAAATACATTTTATTTAAATAAAAAGGTCATATTTATTAAGGTTAATATTTATTCCAGCAAATTAAAACATACATTTCAGTTCATTTAAACCTATTTTTTTTACTTGTATTTTCTAGTTTTAGGGTATGTATAAGTGCATTGTGTGGGATTTGAGTGGCATTCATAAATAAAAAGCATTATAAATAAGGAAAAGTTCATACAAATTGAATACAAATGAATTTATTTAAAACTAACAAAACTGCTGATTTATTCCTCATGCATTCTGTAAAATACACTGCATGCAACAAAATCTTATTTCTTTTAACAGGCTCAGCCTACAGTAACAATACCTTTCTGTACTCTGAAAATCAGTTTTAAGTGTAAGCTTCTTTTACTGCAGCTCGTACTGTAAATTCCCTGAATACAACTTCGAGTAAGCATTATGTTCAACGTAACAGTCTTCTGTGCTCCGGGAAAGCCACATGAAGGACAACACCAGTGGAATACTATGAATCCGGTCCAGAATTAGTAACCATTTCACTGGCAATACTTTCAGGAAAACCCGCAGAACAGATGTCTTCGCAGGATGGGAATCCCAAGGTGCCATCAGGACGCCCACCTGCCATTCATATGAGGTGTCTGGGTATGTACAGCGTGCAGTTATCTCATGCTTTCAGTTTAAACACTGACATGGCAAACACATAGGCAAATACCCAAACTGATTTAATTTACAAAAAAACTAAAATGTGTGATGGGGATGGGGAATCTACATATGTTCTAGGCTTTAGCACCTCATCTCATGTATCTGTTAAGAGTGAGAGTTTTAGCTGTAGGAGCCTTACAACTATTGTTACTCCTTGTGTCCTTGGCAGTATCGTGTCACTGAAGAAGCAGTCCATTGGTCGAACCATTTCCCCATCTTCAAAGAAAAGATCTCATATCATAGGGCTGCTTTTCCCAGCGCACCACTGCTGCTCTTCACAAATTACTCCCAACCTCCATGACATTTCCAGCAGGTCCGGTGAGACTACGTTTAGCCACAAAGACCACAGATTCCAGTTCAGCAGCGTGAACCTCACCTGCCTCGGGGTGATCATTGTACTCTCTGAGCTCACTGGTCTACAGTTCAGTTGAGACTTGATGGATCCACACGGAGTTGTTGTTGGTCGTACTCTGATATGAGCTTCTTGATGTGGGCCAGTTTATTGTGTAGATATTCACAGCGACTTTTGTCCTGGTTGTAGTTGGGGTTGGACTATAGAGACAAAAAAAAATAAATAAATATGACTTATCTATGTAACAGCAAAAGAAAGAGGAGTAGAGTCCCATTAAGCAATCTTGAGATGAATATTGAATTTTAAACAAAGTTTTTACCTTTTTAATTTTGTAATACTCTTGAAGAATTTGATTATGAACCGTCTGCAAGAGAGAAAAATAGAAATAAGAATTAATTTATCAAGTTGCAAAATGTGCACAGTCTTAAAAATATTAAATGTGACTAAAAAAGCAAAACTTAAATCATCCATAGAAAAATTTCATACCACTTTAACTTGACTGATCAACAGAATGTATGTGAAAAATCTTCATTTCTAGCTCCTATAGTTGATTTAAATGTATTACTTTTTATTATTATTATTATTATTATTACTATTACTATTATATTTAACACACCAAGATATTGAGCAATGCACCACCAAAGGCGGAGAAGAAGACTGCTAGCTAGTAAACATGGATGTAAACAATGTAGGAGTTAAAATATTTTCTTTGCAAATGTTTTATGAGGAAAGAAATGCAAAGGGAGTTTAACAGTGAATGTAAACACAACTTTTCCACCCTTTAATGTAATAACAATGGACCACACCTGACTTACTGATTTGAGTTCAAGCCCATGAAGCACCACTTGTTACATTTTCAGAATATATATGTTATCTTCTGTATTTCTTTTGTTTTCCCTTAAATCATATTAAACTGGAACCCCAAAACTGGGCTAATGAACTGTGGATTTTGTGTGTCCTTACAAATCTAGTCAGTGTGTTGTACTCAGTGATTATTTTACTAGTATATGGCTTTATGTGCAACCTCTGGGGCAAGATCAGAGCTTCAAGTGGGGAAACAGTATTTTTGTGAAATAAAGACTGGAACATAGTAAGCATTGGGATGACAATAAGGAAGTTGTGTACGCTACAGCAGCAGCAAATTTTCTTTTGATACTTCAACTACTGCAAAAAAAAAAGCTTTCAGAGGATGAGTGTTGCTCTAAACATAAAATGAAGTGCTGGATTTCTTTAGGTTTTACCTTGTATTTGTGTGATTCGTGGTGCAGCTTTTTGAGCTGCATGTCCAGCTCCATGAACTGCCGTGTCACGCCATCAATACGTGCGTGAAGATCTCTGTACTCGCTGTACTCCCTGTTAAAGTCCTGCTTGTAGCTCTGTCTCTGGTCGTGACTGCGAATTCCAGTATACGTCCTGTGCAGAGAACATAAAGGGACACTATGATTAGTGCCTACAGTTGAGGTTGTCAACCTCTGCAGAGGTTATGTATGTTTAGTGTGATTTTTTTTGGAGAAAATGAAAGCAAGGACAGACATGCACACACTCTTTTTTGCTCCAATAAAAGGTTTACCTTACTTACAATAAATAGTCTGCTGGGTCATTGTCCGCTTGAAGCACATTAGAATCAAACATAATTTCGCTCGGCTCTGTAAGAAAGAAGAAACGATGTCAAACTGTTTAAAAATACGGAAAAACGGACTGAAAGTCAGACGTCAACAGCTAACAGCACTCACCTTTGCAGTCCAGGGAGACTTGATTGTTTGGATCCTCTGAACTGCGCTCTTTTCTCCTTTCCTTCTTGTCTCTCCACCTATCCTTCTCCTGGAACAAACAAAGTAAAAACAAATCCCAATTACAAATGCATCTTATACAATAGAAAAGCTGTAAACTAAATAAAAAGTAGTTTTCTCACCTGATCTCTGTGTTTGTGTTTGCTCTTCTTCCTTTTGTTTGTGTGTCTGTTCAGATCTGGCACTACCAGAGGGGGTGGAGGACGATCAGAGTTGGGCTGAGGGTTGTCTGCTGTTCCTCTGGGCCCCTCCTGAGCACGGGGAGTTGGGTCGAGCCTCTTGGCCACTTCTGCTTCCCGCTGACAGACTTCTGACAAGGAGTCAAAAAGCCTTCGAGGATCAAGCAAGTTCTTTTGTCCATCATTCCCCATCGCTCCTGTGATGTCTCTATGAGCCACTTGTTTGGACGGCATCACTTTTGACTTTTCACTGGCTGTTTTGCTGGACAAGTGGGATATCCTGGGCTTCTTACTCGCCAGAGGGTCGGTGTACTCCTCGGGCAGGGAAGGTTTTGGGTGGTGTGCTGGGGAGGAGTTAGGGGTGTCTCGCAGTGGACTGACCTGGGCCTTTGGGACGGTGAGGAGGTTCTGTTGTGGCTGAAACAGTCTCCTGCACAGCAATAAGAAGGTGATAAACAAACTGGCAATTCTACTAAATCTACACTTGGTTTTGCATATGTTAAAGTGTGCTTAGTGCCATTTGTAAATGATTCCAAGCAACAAAAATGTCACATAGGGTCATTCATGTGACATCCAGTCTAATCTACACCACATATCAGCAAAGACGCCAACATCAGCGGCCATGCAGATATGGACATGCTGATGTGTGCTGATATACAGGCGAGAAAGCTCACTGCATTAGTGTCACACAAACAAGTGCAGTTAACAGGTGGTACAAGTGTTCAATGTAAAAGCACAAAAGAACCCACAAAGTGAACAGCAGCAACACAAAAG